CTATCTATTTTCAGAATTTTCAGCACTTGGAACCCTACAATTCTGAACCAAGAATTTAAGTATAAATTGAGGGGGGGGGGAACTGCCTATTTTCCAGCAATCCAGGCTGAGAAAACCACCATAACTGGGCTTAAACAGCCAAATTTCTCATCAAAGATAAAGAGCACAAATAAATAACAAAAATCCCAGAAAAATTCAAGTCAAGCATGATGAATGCAGAGCAACCCAGACCACATAAAAATAGGGAAAAAAGGAAGAAAAAAAACACTAAAATATCATAAATTGAAAGCTACAGTTGTAGGTGAATTACTAGTGAAAATAATCAAACCATTTACAATCATTATTGAGCTAAAAAAAGACCAAAATGGGGTTAAACAGCTAAAAAAACTACCTTTTCATTGATAAGAAACATTGACTGAGCCCACCAAACACTCCCATTACTGTGCATTTTCCACAATTTACTCAAATTCTGAAGAAAAGGGTACTTAATTTTTCACTTGGAAAGCAAGAATCCAAAGCAAAGCTATCATCTTTTCTGTTATTTTTTACTTCCTCTGCTGCTTTATCTTCTTATTTTGGACTAAAGTTTTGATTTTTTGTGGGGTTTGAAGCTTTATATAGTGGAAGTATGTATGAGTGCATTAAATTATGAAATCTAACACTGTACCAAACTGGTTTTTCTTGTCTTAAAGTGTGAACGAAAGGAGACGTTTTGAAATTTTCATTGTTCAAAGAATTAATTAAGAAATGTACCATTCAAAAGAATTTATTATTAAATTTGAAAAAAAACAAAGTCAGTTTCTTGAATTAAACGTCCATGGGCCCAGTTTGAAATCTTCCCCTATACTTCGGTCAGCTGCTTCAGGGTTCATGTAGTTACTCTCGATAAGATGGATATTCGATTGAATCGAGTTAATTAAATGAATTGATTTAGTGAAAAAATGAGTTAGTTAAATTGATGAGTATAATTTTAGTTCTTTTTTTAAAAAAATTGAGTTGATTCTAATTCAATATATTTATTTAAGTGTCCGCTCAAATTTAAATGTAATCTTTTATAATATTATGATATTAATTAATTTTAATTTAATATATTTTCTCTAATCATATATGAGATATGGCTTCTTTGCCCATATAGAGTTGAGGGAAAAATAATTTTATCATATAAGGCATCTATCATATTATTTCTGAGCTAGGACTTCTTATTAGTCTGAAGACACTATGCACTCATGGGATTCTCTATTTATCTGAAAACGTCATGCAGTCGTGGGGTCTTCTTCATTTGCCTGAAGACGCCATGCAGTCGTGGAGTCTTCATATTTAGCTTGAAGACGCGTTGAGCACTTGGCGCCTTTAGGTTGGTATTGTTCATTTAATTCTAGATGAGAAAATAATCTTCGGGATTAATTATATTGGGAATTAAAAATCTCATTTACATTATCTCAACCATTTTACCTATGATATATATATATATATATATATATATATATATATATATATATATATATATATATATATATATTCATTTTCATATTTGTAAATAAGATAATATTGTTTAAAAATTAAATATCATCTAAAATTATATTATATATTTACAGTGTTATTGTGTAGAAAAAGAGATCTTGAATACAAAATATTGATGAAGTGTATAATGGAATTAAGAGATTGATGGATAATTAATATTTTTCGAGTAAAGTCGAATTTTATTTGCTCTTAATTTCCAGGTCTTATTGCTATCCATTTTTTTCATTTTTAAACATAATAAACAATAAATTTATGGTTTATATTTTTTTAACAATAAGGTTTATATAGATTTTGAATTTAACTAAGAAAAAGAAGAGTATAAAATATGGTAACTAACTAACTATGCTACCATTGCACTAAAACTATGGTTGCAAGATTCTTCCTTGGTAAGGCAGTCTAGCTTATATTAATGTTTTTAATTCTTTGTGAAATTAATTTTTATTGTTATGAGATATGAATGTTTTTTTAATTGATATATTTTCTGAATAAGATTTTGGATTAAAATTTTATAGGTAAAAGAATATAATGAGAAGGAATTATTTATATTGAAGAATTTTATATTATTGGATTTTAAATATAATTGAAAACCATGTAATTATTGTTAGGTTACTTTGGTTCCAATCCAAGTCTATTTTTGCAGATGCAGAGTGAGACAAAAGTCAAATCTATTGTAGTTTTTCCTTTTATTGTTTACTCATAGTGAACAACGTGTTCCAAAGTTCCAACTCAGCAACATACGGTTAGAGATGACAATTTAACATGAACTTAATACATTTTTATTTGATTTGAAAAGATCAAATCTTAAATAAAAATTAGATTCGCATAAAATTCAAGTTGAGGGTAAATAATTTCTGACACGACCCAATTTGAAGATAATAGAGTAATTTTATATACGAATTTATAAATAATTTTAATCAATAAAAAATTATAGATAATTGTTATAATATCTCTCTATCAATAATTTTTCTTTTTAATTATGCTCTTATTTCATGTTAAGTCAGGTTAAATCAAGCCGATATTTTACTCCAAAAATAAAGTTAGATCAAGGTGTGGTGAATGATATATATATTTTGGATTAGATTCAATCAAATTGACAAAAAGAACTTAACTCAACCTGACCCGTTGTCATCTCTAGTTATAATTCCCTTTAATCTTTAGGATGAGATTTTAGCTAAATTCCATGATTACGAGACATATTATTATTATTATGTGTAATATATAATATGATGTATTACGTAATTTTAGATGGGATTTATTTGATTTGATCTATATGATTTATGCGTATTTCCTTTTAGACATTATCTTATTAATATAATATTTTTTTCAAAGTTTAAATTTTACTATTATTAGTCGTTATAAAATATTAAAACGTCTAATGATCATTAAAATAATGCATCCACTATTGATTTTTTATCCTTTGCCCTCACTTTGAACTATAAATATCACTTATAAAAGATACATCAATAAGAACAAATTTTCTTTTATCTCTCACGAAAAATTCATCTATTCTTTTATAATTCGAAGAAAATATTTTTAACCTCAAATTCATCTTTCTGAGAAGAATAATATCAATTGAGTTTTACTTTAATATTCAAGTGTACAAATATAAAACGACGTCTTAATTTTAAAGACAACATCCGTTTCAATGATTATATCAATCGAAACATATTTGCTTATTATACAATAATTCATACTACAATACAATTAAACTTATTTTAATTTATTTTAAATTACTTTTTAGATAATTTAAATATTTGTTTTTGCCATATAAAAAATTGTTTTTGCAGGAATACTATTTTTCTAACAAATATAACATATAAATATACGAAAAAAATTAAAATTAACATAATATAATATAATGTTTGGAAAAATATAGAACGATATAAATATTGGTTGAATTTTAAAGCATTAAATATAGAAAGTGGTCCAAAAGTTCAAATTCCTCTCCCATCTCACATCACATCAAGCTTCCCTTTGCCAGAAGGAACATTTATAATTATAAAATTTTATTTTCTCTTATTTTTCACTATTTTTTTTAAAATATAATGTTAAAATTCATTCTTAATATTTTTATGAACAAATATTTTTATTTTATTTTTTAAAAATATTTTAACTTTGAACCTTTAGTTATCATATATATATTTTATTTACTTGATGAAGGTTATTTTTATTTAATTTAATATTTTTAAAAAATAAAAGCAGTAATTAATTATTTGTAACTTTAGGGAGAAAAATATGGTAGGTAGAATCCAACTTGTTGTTTGGACACAAAACAATGCATGTGCTTTGTAGTATAGGCAAATTCCAACATTAACATTGGAGTTAGTAATTAATAATAAAAGTTAATGATATAATTTGGTGTCTCACAAATTTAATGATTAAATGTCTACTAATTCCCATCCAATGCCCGCTACTTTGTCAGTAGCACCCATCCTACATCATTACTAATAACTTATTCCATCATTATAAATTCATATTTTATTTTTTACTTAATTAAATTTATATTTATATTAATTGGTAATACTAATTCAATTAAAAAATTGCAAATGAAGACAAAAAATAATTTGGTTTATTTTTGTGATGGTGATAAAGTTTAAGTTAAATATTAATTTTAATGAAGTTTTTACAAAAATTTATTCTTTAATTATACATTTTCTATGATAATTTATATAAAAATTTTGGTTATATATATATATATATATAATTTGCACAAATATATTTACCTCAATGATTAAGAATATAGTTGTTATCTTTAGAGGTTTCAGGTTAAGAACAATACAATCTCAAATTTGAGTCCTATAATTCCTCATATTCCCAATTTATTTTTTTGACATATCATCACCTTATTAGTTTAAATAAAACTATTTAAAAAGTAACACATGAGTTATTGATTAGAAGAGAGTATGGTGTGAAAAATAAAATAGTTAGATGACTAAAATAGAAACACGAAATAGGTGGTACCAAATTGTTAATTTATCCAAATAATTATATCTTAGGTAAACTACACCGATAGTCACAAACATATTAATTTATTTTCTATCATTATCGAACTATTTTCTTTTGATAAAATGCGATACTATTGTTACCTTTTTTATTCTTATTATAATCATAAATCATTAAAAATTTAATAACAATGCTGATACTGTAATTTTCTTTTTGAATTTTCATTTTATTTTCTCTCTTCATCTTTAATATTCATTCATTCACCTTTTACATTTATTGTAAGGGGACGTACGATATTCATATTCATGTACCATATGATGTTTGTAGTCTTATAAATAATGTACAAATTTACAAAACCCAAAAAATTAAAATATTATTCTCCCTTCACATTGTATTCCATATTTCTTTTATTCTTATTACAAATTCTATAATTTTATAAAAAACATTAAGTAGTATTTGAATAAAGACAATAATTTCACATAGTTAAAAACAATATTCAAGATATGTAAATTGACACCAACTTCATACGAAATCATTTATAAAGTCAACTTCACTCTCGGATTTAGCTCGAGTGGGCATGAGTCGAATCTCGAATTTGAGGAAGCTGCAATCTCTTCCTCCTGCTAAAGTATGGATCTTGATGTCATACTTCATTAGACCTTTAAATTTATAAAATTGAAGAGAAATGTGGACTTACCGAAATGAGCGCACAACTAACGTGAGCAACGAATAGTCCTCTACACTCTGTGCAATGATAGACATGATCTGTAACATCTCTTTCTTCTTCACAGATGTCACAATAATATTCTCCTGAATCATCTTCTTTAAAACCATCTTTACGAGTTAAAGGATGGATGTGATATTTGGATTTCAGTGAACGTGGCAAAACACGTTCAATATGTAACTTGGTATCACATTCCATGCAAAAACAGAAAGGAATCCAAGCAATCATTCCTTTGCATTCACCGCATACCTTTGTATATCTATAATGATTAGTCTCAGTCTTCGGTCCAAAATAGTACAGGTCATGAATGTGGGACTTCGATTTTATGACCCGTTTCAAGGATGTCGCACAGTGAACATGGAGATAGAGATCACACTGCATGCAACTATAGCTTATTGCATTATTTAATGAACCTTTGCAGACGAGACAACATTGTGATGGATGTAGAAGAGGGTGAAGGGGGTGTAACGGATGAAATTGGATTTGCATCTCCCATGGAATTCCAACACAGCTTTCATGAAGTGAATATCCACACTCATAGCATATGTAGCTCGGACCTGAAAGATGTAAACCACAAAAACTACAACCGCCACCTAGTGAATTGTTCCCATGATAAACGTAGACTAATTTATGGTGTTTATTGAAAACACACAACTTGGGTTGTGTTTCGATATCCTTTAGCCTTTGAGTCTCATTTCTAGGTACCAGTGAGGAAGTAGCACATTTCACATCGAGTTTGAAACCACACGCATAACATACGTAAGCAAACCCTTTATTTACACCTCGACATCCTTCGCATATGAAAGGACGATCCCAAAATTGTGCATACCAAGGGATCAACTTGAGAGAATGTTGAGGGTGAAGAGGATGTAGCACTTGAGAGGGTAATCTAATGCATGTTTTGTGTATGTAGTATCTGCAACTTCTACATGCATAAGCTTCATATGAGATTTCTAGCCAACAAACAGAGCATCTAACTCCCTTTTCATGCTTTTCAATAGCCTCATAAAAGATTAGCTTATCTCCTCGTTCACAAGATTTAATCTGTATTAAGTGAAAAAAAACCCAACTTAATGAATATGCTTACCAAGATGTAATTCATACTTGATTACCTTAATGTTAATAATTGATACCGACCTCAAAATGAGTAGACATGTTTACATTTCTTTCATTTATTTCATATTTCTCCTTTAGTTTCCCTATTGAATCTTTGTCACCCACCAAGCTACAGGTCGACTCATCGTCAGAGTTGGCATCGTCTTTAATCTGAGAAATTGGCATTTCTTTAATGTAAGAATTTTATTGGAAGAAACTATAAAAAAGATTAAATAAGCTGTTAACAACATACCTCATTGAGAGCGCATTCAATATGAACAACAAATGTACATTTGTTACAACAATAAACAAGATCTCGTGGCTTTCTTTCTTCTTCGCAAACATCGCAGTAATATTGATCAGAATAATCCTCAAGAAAAACATCAATAAGCATAAGTTCATGTCTGTGATATTTATGTTTAATACTTAATGGTATCAAACAAAAAAGATGAAAATTGAATCTGCATGACACACATCGATAATAATGATTAAACGCAGAATCTTCGCTGGGACGAATCTTCTTCCTACACTTCTTACATGGTTCTAATTCGAGCTTAGGTGACTCAGGTTTCATTGGAAGAAGGGTAAGATGATGCTCATGCAACTCATGTTTTAGACCAGGCTTAAATTTAACACAACTAAAATGAACAAGGAGTTGGCACTTTTCACAAAAATATCCTTGACGAGTATCCCAAGTGGTATAACCACAGACATCGCATGGAAAGGGCGACTTCCTATATCGGACTGCTAACTGAAGCTGGTGGGGTGGATGAAAGTGATGTTTTGAGATTATAGTGGGCATATTGATCAAACATTTTTCATGAACGAAGGACTCTGATGGGGGACATTCAAAACAACCATAAGAGATTCCAGACAAAAGCTTCTCACACCAAAAACAACTGTAGTGATACTTGCTCACTTTGCGATAGTTAAACCGTGTCAATAGATGATCCCGACGGTGACAGAAATGATAGATTCCTTTGTATCTATGACTTGTGATCGTAGCTGAAGATGCACAAATGTGATCAAGGTTGAAGTTGCAATCTGCACACTGGTATACGCAGCTACGAGTAAGACTGGAACACCCATTACAAAAGAAATGGAAAGAATCACTGAATTGCTCGGTGACTAGTTTAAGAAGGTGTTTTGAATGGAGGGGATGTGAAATTTCAAGAGGCAGCTGTTGCACAGCACATGAATGGTGTAGCCAAAACTTGCATATTTCACAAGTGAAGGCCCAACCATCAATTTTCTGATTGCATTTATCACAACAGCTCTCTTGCTTTTCATATTTATCATAAAGCAAGTGATGTTCATGAAGGAAAGGTTTGAGGTTCATCCTATCAAATGGAGATAGAAAGGAAAGATGGATAGATAGAGAGAAGATAGTTAATGATAGATCTAAGAGCTTAATATATGTATAAAGAGATGAAAAGAATGTCACGTTGCAAACATAAAAAATACATAAACCGAAAAAATATTTAATATTTCTTGTTAGGGATAAGAAATACCATTTTTATATTTTGGTAAACACACAAGAATTCACAAATATAAATTTTAAAAGTTAATATGCTTAAATGAAAAAAATATAGAAAATATTCTTTGTTTAGTGATAAGTAGGTCCTTACCTGCTTAACATTTTCTACATTTTTATTGAAAAATTATAACGGTTAAATTTAATTTTATATTATCAAATATTCTTTAAATATTAAATCACTGAAACCATCAATTTTTAATGAAATGAATTTTATCGATGAGTTCTCAAAAGATATCTTGAGTAATTAATATTGTTTCTAAATCAAATCTTCTATATTTAAAAAAAAATACTTAAATAAAAAGAATATTTAATATTTTTTATAGACGAAAAGAATGATACTTTTCTCTTCTTCTTTTTTTGTTGATAAACTCCAAAACAATCCATAAGTAGTATAAGATTCGACGAAAGCTACATATGAAATAAAGAATATTAGAGGTTTTAAAAGTTGGGTATAATTTATTAATAGAATCCATATTTTCTCGTAAAATATTATGTAATTGCATATATTATCTTTAACAAGGTGTATAAGGAAAAGAATATTTAATATTTTTATTTCAAAAAAAGAATATTGAATATTTTTTCTCAAAATAAAAGAACGATCTGCTTCCTTTTTTATATTATTTGATGATAACTGAAGTAAAAAAATATTTGAGATTTTATGAGTTGGATATAATTTATTATTAAAATTTATATTTTTTCCGTAAAATATTTTGTAACCTAATGCTTTTAAAAAAATTATATAAACAAAAATAATATTTGATATTTCTTGTCAGAAGAAAGGAATGAATCATTTTTTTTCTATTTTGGCATATATAAAAAACAACATAGGTAGTGTCTTTGAAAAGATGCATAAACAAAAAGAATATTTGATATTTCTTGTCGGAAGAATCGAATTATACTTTTATCTATTTTGGTAAACATAAAAAATTCATAGGTAGCATAAGATTCTATGATAAATTCTACTCAAGTAAAGAATATTTGAGGTTTCATAAGTTAGGTATAATTTATTGTAAGAATACACATTTACCTCGTAAAGCATAGCATATATTACCTTTTGAAAGATGTATAAACGAAAAGAATATTTGGTATCTCTTGTCGGAAAAAGGAATGACATTTTTCTCTATTTGTTAAAAAAAATCATAGATAGTATAAAATTCAATAATAACTTCAACTTAAGTAAAGAATATTGCCATTACTTTCGAATTATTTTACTTTTGTTCATTTTTGTGTTCAATTATGGAGCAAAGCAATGGGGAATTGGTGGTGGCAAACAAATGAACATTGGCGTGGAGGTTGAATGGTAGGGGGAGAAGAAATGGAAAATGAGTTATAGCGGGAACTATATTGGTGTAAAATTTGTATGTTGAAGACTGAATTTTTAGAATTAGGATCAAATTATAACAATGTAAAAAGATTAAAGACAAAATTTATTATAATGTCAATGCTATTAACTGCCACATCAACTTTTCTTATGAAGGTTAACAATGAATGACTATTTTAATACTTTTGATAATTTGAGTGATCAATTTGTAACATTTTATACTTGATGACTCAATGAAAAAGTATCATATAGTTCAGAGATCATTTGTGTAGATTATCCAAAATTTACTTATAAGTTAATTATATTTTATTGGGCTAGAAGTATGAATATGTTGAATAAAGGCCTGCTTTAGCAAATGGAAAACTGATGAAGAAAAGTCCAGAAAAGTCCATCGTTACAAATATATTTAGGGTAAACTATTCAAATAGTCATTTGACTATAGGTAAGCTTTCAGTTGGATCACTTGACTTTAAAATTCACAAATTGGTCACTTCAAATGTCGAAAGTTATAAATTGATAATATTTTGTTAAGTTAATAGCTGAAGATGACATGATAGTTTACAATATTGATGAAATAATAAATTAAATCCATTTGTTCTTCTTTCTCTCTCTTGTTCATTATGTCCTTTATAAAAACTAGGAATTCTTTCCTCCTTATTTTCAAGATAAATTTAATTCATTTTTCATAAATTAAAAATCAATTAAAAAAATTAAAATGTAAAGTCTTCAGATGCCTCAGACATTAATTATCTCGGATCTACTCACATTGTTGTCATTAATTATCTCGGATTTATTCACATTGTCGTCATCCCCTCTATCTGTTAGCCCAACCTTGAACCACCCTTGTTGTTGCTACAAGTTGAACCTTTCGATCGATCCTTAAGGAAATATTCAAACAAGATAAAAACGATTGTCAACAAAAAAAAAAGAAATTTTGAAAAAAAAATAGAAGAAAGAGCAACCAAAAAACAATATCTTCCTTAATCACTCGACCTCACCACCTATACCACTCGAATCACCATGCTCCCACAACTCAACTACTAACATGAACCCAAAATCTAACCCAAAATCTTAAAACTCACAACCTATAGAACACACATATGGGAACAAGGGACATCCATTTTTTTTATAGAACACACATAAAAAAGGCCTAGTTAAAAAGCTAAAAAGAAAAATCGGAATCATAAAACCATTATCTTCTAATTTAGATTTTAAATTGAAGATCCAGACGGTGAAAAACTTCACTGATAGTGGAGAACACATAACTCAATAAGGACTTCAACCGATGACAGGATCAATGACGACGAAAGTAATATTTTTGAATAATTTTTTTTGGATAATTCATATTTTATTACCCAAAAACAGAACCTGTTACAAAAACATCAGTGTTCAGTTACAAAGATCAGCTTACTTGCAAAAAGAATCAGATCATACTATACCCCAATGCTTACATAGAGTAATATTAACACTATCATTCCTATTAATATTTCTATCACTCAATTGCAGTCTAACAGTATCCTTAATGGTATGCAAAAGATCTTGTAAGTTTTTTGATCGGCTTTGAAACAGTCGTTTGTTGCGTTCATCCCAAAGAGTATAGATAAGAGTAGTAAGTGCAAGTTTCATGATCGATGTTAGTAGAGATTTTCCTTTCCAAGTAGAGCTTGTCCACGTGATAAGAGCTTCCCAAGAGCAAATGTTGAATTGCATACCAGAGTAGGAAAAAACAGCAGTCCATAGCTGATTAGCCATAGGACAATGGAAGAACAAATGCTCCCCTTGTTTCACATGGATCATCACAGAGAATGCATTTACGGTCGTTGATAAGCCCCATATGGTAGAGTCTATCTCTAGTTGGTAGTCTATCAAGTAAAGCCATCCAAGTGATTAAACTAAATTTGGGAATATGTAGAGAGAACCAGATAATTTTCTGCCAAGGAACTTGAGGTATTCTATCTCGAAAAGCGTCCCATATATCAGTAACTTTCTCTGTTCCAACAGTAAGAATGGGGTAAGCCACAGCTCTTAGTTTGAAGATACGCCTAAGGCTCCAACTGAAAGAAGAACGAATGTCTACATTCCAAAAATCATTGCCTATGAGAACATAGCTATTTTTTAAATAAATTATCTAGGTGTTTTGAGACCATTCTATGCAAAAACCAAATGGAAATCTAGATTAATATTAAAAGGGGATGTTTTGGTAGGTTTTGAAATATCGATCGTCATCGATAAAAGTTAAACTTCTTATCTAAAAAACAAAATCCAAACACTTCACACATGAACAAAAAAAATGACCTCGAGTTATTTAACAAAAAAATCATTTCGGCATACCTAATTTCAGAAAAAAAATAAAGTAGATACCAACCAATAAAAGAATAGATATAGGAGCAGCAAAATGGAGTCAGGCGCCACCATAACAAACACCATTAGTGGAATAACCATTAAGTACATTTTCAATATTGGAAACATGACATATAAAATGTCCTATATGACTCAAAATAATGTTAATCAAACAAAAAAACCAAAGAAAAGCACATAGTTTTGTTTTGTTGTTTTTCCCTTTAGGCTACATTTGGTGTAGTGTACAACTTACTAATTAACCTCTATTATCCTTTTGACTTTTATTGCATCAAGTGTCACACACGTATGTAAACCTATAAACCCTAAACACATTTTCAATACGATTATTAGTAAAATAATGCAAATTACATGATTTTTATGAAATGAATCTTGTACCAAGTTGAAGGGTATCCTAAAAAATTAATTATGTCCCATGCTGCCCTTATTTAAGAACTTGTCCGATAGGACAAGGCAAATATTCTCATATATGTCAAAGATTAGGCACTTCTAGCATAAAATATTGTCCTTAAATCCCATATGGTACCCAAAGTACCCGTTAGATTCCTTCTTTTCCGAACCTTAGTGTTAAGACTGTAAGTAAAACGGTATCTTTTATACAAACTCTATACAATAAAAATGTTCCAAATTGAAAAATTAAAGGCTTCTTTTAATTGTCATGTCCCTGAGCTTGTAAGGCTGAGATCCTATCATGATATCCCCATTACTGGGATGCTTGTCATGATGACATTTAAAATATTAAATGTCATGACCACATTTAAAATATTATTTATTTATATTAATACGTTCATGGTTCAAATTAGGGAGATTTTAAAATGTTAGTGTGTAATATTTTTTATATGCATTTTAATCATCTTCATAGATAGACCGAGTGTGGTAATTAAGGCTCAGGTTCTTTAAAATTTTTAAATTTTTATATACTTTAGATTTTTTCCTTTGTATTTTCTATTGATAATATATTTTAGTCCTCTAAAATTTCATAAGTTTACTTTACCCTAAAATTTTATAAATTCACTTCTCTAACATAAAATCATACTTTTTTCTATTATATTTCGTTTTGTATGGTATTTGGTGGCTACCTACACAAATCGCATTAGTGATTTTTTCTTTCAGGGTATGGGCATAGGGGTTGTGACTTTTGACTTTAGGTAAGTTTATAAATAGTAATAAAAAATAGATAAAAGTCTAATTGTTAAGTTGAAATTCAAAATTAAATGTTAGAGATTAATTTGTTTAAATTTATAATTGACAGATATTTAAGAAATATTTAATTTAAAATAATGAGAATGTTATTTATTTGGCCTAATATTAAAATTAATAGGGACTTCAGAAATATTTAAACTGGAAAATAAGTTCAAAGCTTAATTTACCTAATTTAAAAACTAATATGGACCTAAAAGGTAATTAAACTCAAAAATTTGGAGAACAACGCTTAATTTGTATAGTTTCAAAACCTTTATGTTCCTAAGATATAATTAAACCTACAAATTTGAGAGGACAGTAAATGCGGCTCCGTCATTGAGGGTAAGAAATTTACGGTGAGATTAAAAAAAACAGTAATGGAAATTTAAAAATTACGGAGCAATTAGATTAATAATAACATTTCTAGTAACTGCAAGAAAAGTTAATATAGTCACTGAAAACATTATAATTTTTAACCAAAAGGGTGTATCCTGGATCCTCATTGCTCAATTGTGGTGCAATTAAAACGTTCGTTATAATATATCTTATCACTTGTAATTATTTTAGATTAATAAAAAAATTTGTTAAAATATGTTGATGTGTTTCATTTAGAAATGGATGAAAGATTTTATGTTATATTGTAAATTTTTAAAATTTTAAAAGGAAGCGAATTATAAAATTATACGAGCGGAAATAAATTATCGATAAAATATCTAAAAATATATTATAATTTAAATTTTTAGGATGGACAATTGTCCTTCATCCGTTCATCGATCCATCCTAATTGCATCCCAAGAGTGGGAAGTTGCATCCGTTCCTCGATCCATCTTGATTGCACCCCAAGAGTGGGAAGTTGCTCTATATTGTGTGTCACTCTCCAATCAACTTGTCGGAACTCTTCAGCGAGATTTTTACTGTTGCTGATGATGTTCGTCGTATGCAATTGTTGACAATTATGTGGAGCATATGCTTCCATAGAAATATTATCATATGGAAAGGAAAGTATCCTACTCCTTGCAAGACTATTATGATGCATTAATCTAGTGGTGAATTTAAAAATATTTTTAAAAAATTAAGTATATATATATATATATATCACAACATAAAACTTTTATAAGTGGATGGACATAAATAAAATCTCAGGATGAACACAATTAACAATAAATTTGGATCTTGGTCTGAATCCGCATTGCCAACATGCTTTCGGAACAAGCGTTCAAAGTAGCTGTTTACTGGACGCCACCAAGTGTTGGTTGATGATTCAGTCGACCTATGTCGCCATGGAGCCTCAATATGAGCAAGTGTTGTCTTGTCCGTTCGTGAAGCTTTGTCCTGGTTAAAGCACCGGCAATCCAGTAATATTTGTCTTGGAGTATGATTATCAAATGGTTATCAATCTGCTGCAAGCTTCCGGTGATTTGGATATGAATCAGAGGGGTTAAATTACATTAAATATTATCTTCTTTGGGTATTATATGTTTAGTAATATATTAAATATTAACCCCTTAAATTAAACCCATAACTAATTTTAAATCCGGGGAACAAAACTTAGTGGGTGATAGGTGGCCAATAGTTTTGATGCTGACCTTATGCACATTGAAATTGCGAAATTGGTCTCAATCTCCAAACACTCCATTAATTATTTATAAATTCATGCTTGAGGCACAAGTGTGCTCCACCAAATCTAAATTTATATTTTCTTTATTTCTTTATGCATTTGGTCAATTTCCTCACAGGTTTACAGAAGGTCAATTTCTTCTATTAGCCCCTTCATTATGCATTTAAATTGTGAATTTAATCCCTATACGTTTCAAAATTTTAAATTTCAGTCATGATTCAAATAGTAATCATTAAATTTGTTACATCAAATTCTAGCATTAATTTCTCTTATATGATGCATAAGTTGTAAATTTAATTATTTCAACTCATCATATTTTAGTTATAATATTGTCCATATATTATTTAAGTTAAGATTAAAATTTCAAAATGTTTAAAGTACGAAATCTAAATTTGACCAAACTGAAATTGAACCATTTTTACCGACATGTTAACATATAATTTTATATTTTTTCAATAGTCTAGGGTGATTACAGGATCATATATATTTAAAAAAAATTAATTTATTGATAATGCATACACATCCTATAAACACAACCGGTCGAACACAAATTATCTATAAAAAAACAACACTGTAGCATATTATTATGGCCAAGGCCTCTTACCCTGCCAATAAGCAAGCTCTCCACTTCTCCATACTTTATATATATATATATATATATATATAAAGTGTGTACATATGCATGTATATATGTATAAACCACACGAATCCCTCTCAAATATCTCATTTCCCTTTTCCTTTTTCTGTTGAAAAGAAGAATAGTAATGGTGAAGTTCTCAAAGGAGCTTGAAGCTCAACTAATACCAGAATGGAAAGACGCCTTCGTTAACTATTGGCAACTCAAGAAACATGTGAAGAGGATCAGGCTCTCTCGTCAACAACCGCACCTTAACCATGATCTCCGCCGCTCCCTTCTCGACCCCATCCGTCTGATTTCAGCCAAGCTCTTCTCCACCTCCAAAACCAACGACACCGACGATGGTCAGATCATTAAGGTATAGAGCTACAAACTATTGGGTTCTTTTCGTTTTTTGCATTTCATCAACTTATTTGGACATAAAGTTGTGAAATTTTTCCGTAAAAAGAAAGTAGTTTTTCTTTTAAAAAAAGGATGGTGGAGCTTTTGGTTTCAAGCTTTCCAATGGCCCATGATGATGCTTAATTCTTCTCAGAAACGCAGGGGATGGTTTAGCTACTTTCTAAACTGATTCTCTTCTTATTCTTTCTTGAACTTGGTATCTTGATCCTCTTTACATGTTTCTTGAGTTGCTAATAGTTACATTCTGGGTATTAGTTGAGCTTCAAGCTCCTTTGAGAAACTATTGGCAACTCAAGAAACATGTAAAGAGGATCCAGCTCTCTCGTCAACCTCAACCATGATTATTTCAGAGATTATACCCAGCGGAGATATATATATATATATATTATTTTACTATTTGTGAAGAAAACCCAAAAAAATATAATAATATCAATTAATTGATATGTAAGTCATAGATGATTTCTATAAAACATATTAATTGATATAGTTATATTTTTTCGATTTTTTTCTCGTATATAAGAGATTTTAGAAAAGTTTTCACTATAACTTTCGGAGTCACATACTTTTTGATCAGTCATAACTTTATAAAATAATATCTATAAACCATGTGATATATTAAAATCAATAACATATCTATCTACGTATAATCATTATGACATTATGTCTAGTACCTATACTAAAGAACAAATAAAACTTCTCAAGAAAAACTAAAGGAGAGAACTCCACATCTTTTTCTTTCTCTCTACTTCTATGAGAACAAAGGACACAACTTATCATTCAAAGACCCATCATTCGCTATAAATTCATCGGCTATAGTTCTCCATTTAAATAATTGTGTGCGTATTCATTAATCGTATAGCATTCATACCATTTAAACATATGGGGATTAAACCTATTGAGTCCCCTATCCCCATGAATTAAATTTGCTAAATGAAGAAAGCAAAGTTTTTGTAACCCATTCGTGCCAAACACTCTCAAATGTATAAACACGATTTAATTAACTTGACATTTAATTTATCATCATTGATTGAAAAAAATAATTAAATGTTATTTTTTTAATGCATTTTACATTTTCAATGTTATAGGTAGGGAGTAAAAGCATAGAAGATACGCCTGATCATGAAGTAGAACTCCATCAAACTGAGCTTCTTCAATTGTTTTCTGAAGAAGATGAGGTATATTATTATTCAAAAGTTATATACTTATTTTTTTACGTATAAAATATTAAAAAAATGGAACGAAATAAACCCTAATTTTGTAAACTTGTTTTGATAATTTTGAAGGTGAGGGCATTTTTTGAGAGGTTGGATGAAGAGTTGAGTAAGGTGAACCAATTTTACAAGACTAAAGAGAGTGAGTTTCTTGAGAGAGGAGAGACTTTGAATCAGCAACTACAAATCCTCAAAGACTTGAAGCAAGTCATCGATGGTGATCGGAGACGGAATTTGGATATTTTTTCACGTTCATTGTCCATCTCTCGTCAAAACTCGGATTTATCAGGTGAAAGTTTGATAGAAGAAAATGATAACCTATTAAATTTTGTGAAACTAATTAGGCCGATTTAGCAGTTTTGATTAGTTTATGGAACAGTGGTCGGTCCATGACCTAAGTTGATTTTATATCTTAAATTTTCTCAAAATTAAAAGGATAAAGTACATTAGAGGTCAGTAAACTATGTTCAAATGATCATTTTGATTGAACTTTCAATAATTATAAAATGGTAATTTAATTATATAAATGAATGCAGAGAGTACCCCAGGTTTACATGATAGTTCCCCGGAAATCTCACAAGCAGAAGAGGTAATCGCCGCGTTAGAAAGGAATGGAGTGAAGTTCATGAATTCGACACCAACCACTGCACCAAGCGGAGCCAAGAGAAAGAAAGCCGGGAAGACGAAGGTGGCAATGAGGATCGACATCCCGGCTACCACACCGACACGCACCATCTCGGCCGTGACATCAATGCTGTGGGAAGATCTGATCAACAACCCCATGAAACAAGATCCTGCGGCGGGAAATTTCATCAACAGGAAGAAGATAGAATGTGCTGAAAAGATGATTAGGACTGCATTTGTTGAGCTCTATAGAGGCCTTGAATTGCTCAAAACTTACAGGTTCATTCATTTTTCCTTTTTACATATGCATATATGTATATACATGCATACTGAAGTTAAAATCATTTTTGGCAGCTCATTAAATATGGTGGCGTTTACAAAGATACTCAAGAAGTTTGACAAGGTAATTTATGTTAAAAAGTTTATATTTAAACACTCGAATCCGATTACTCAAAGATTTAGAGTTTTGACCTTATATGAACAGGTATCAAAGCAACAGGCATCAGCAAGTTATTTGAAATCAGTAAAAAGATCCCATTTCTTGAGCTCCGATAAGGTAGCTTGCATAACATGAACGTTGTTCCTACTCGGATATATTATTCTTTTAAAATATTCGAATAACATTTCGAAAAATGAATTTATTCGTATCAAACACTCACCCGAGTTTAATTAATAAATAACAATGATAATGATACTCTAAAGTACAAATGTATTGTTTAGTAACCTAATGGGTTGTTTATGCTGAAATTTATTACAGGTTGTTAGGTTAATGGACGAAGTGGAATGTATATTCACAAAGCACTTCGCCAACAATGACAGGAAAAGAGCCATGAAGTTCTTGAGACCACAGCAGCAGAAAGATTCTCACATGGTCACATTTTTCTCTGGTAATTAATTGTTCTTTCCGTTTTACGAAATATTTATATTCGAATCATATTCAGATACGGATACAAAGTATACAACCATCCAGGAACTAACATTTTATTTATTGCAGGATTGTTTACAGGTGTTTTTGTATCACTTTTTGGTATATACATAGTGATGGCACACTTGAGTGGTATATTCTCACCCACCACTGAAACAGCTTACATGGAAGCTGTCTACCCTGTTTTCAGGTGCTCACCTAATTAAATGTATCAACTGATAATTTAGCTATAGTATAGGGGCCAAAACATGTATTAAACCTCAATTTATATTTTAATTATCTATTTTGGTATCGTATTTGTGCAGTGTATTTGCGTTGTTAAGCTTGCACTTGTTCTTGTATGGATGCAATTTGTTGATGTGGAAGAACACAAGAATAAACTACAACTTCATATTTGAGTTTGCCCCAAACACTGCCCTTAAATATAGGGACGCCTTCCTTATTTGCACCACTTTGCTGACTTCTGTTGTTGGGGCTTTGGTCGTTCATCTTCTCCTCAGTGCTGCAGCCTTTCCTCCTACTCATGTCGACACTATTCCTGGAATTCTCCTCCTGGTTGGTTATTTGAATCCGATTCTTTCATTTTTCTCGAAATATTCGTGTATGACACATATTCAAACCGTAACAGAAATCGTATGTTAGGATATATGAGTCCATTTTTGTATTGATTTCCGATCTCGAACACAGGTTTTTATAACTTTGCTGGTGTGTCCGTTCGATATCTTATACCGATCGACTCGATACTGTTTCCTTCGAATAGTTCGTAACATAATATGCTCTCCACTTTACAAGGTAGCTTTACTCATCCACCTTTTCACCATCGATATCTTCGGATTCGTACGAAGTTCAAGCTGAGCATTTTCTTGTTGTTCGCAGGTTCTGATGGTGGATTTTTTCATGGCTGACCAACTTACTAGTCAGGTAATTGTTCAAGTACAATCAATGTTTGTGTTAATATCCAATGCAATTTCTAGATAAATATATAATTACCATTTAGTAGATATATATTAGTATTATTATAGATTAATATAGAAAAAATAATATAATGAAATCTCTATAAAATAGTCTATATATTTTTAATATTTAATATTATATCTAGAAAGTGTCAAAAGTGTGAGTTAGAGAAAGAGAGCTTAGAGATAGAAAAGAAAAAAGTAGTGAGGTAAGGGTGTAAAATTGTAATTGTGTTTTCTATTAATAAAAGTGTTTTATTCTTAAGTTTGTCTGTCAAACTTTAGTTGTTTAAGTTCGTAGTGCACTTGGGTTTCTATATATTTTTAGTGTCTATATATTTTTAATATTTAATATTATATCTAGAAAGTGTCAAAAGTGTGAGTTAGAGAAAGAGAGCTTAGAGATAGAAAAGAAAAAAGTAGTGAGGTAAGGGTGTAAAATTGTAATTGTGTTTTCTATTAATAAAAGTGTTTTATTCTTAAGTTTGTCTGTCAAACTTTAGTTGTTTAAGTTCGTAGTGCACTTGGGTTTCTATATATTTTTAGTGTCTATATATTTTTAATATTTAATATTATATCTAGAAAGTGTCAAAAGTGTGAGTTAGAGAAAGAGAGCTTAGAGATAGAAAAGAAAAAAGTAGTGAGGTAAGGGTGTAAAATTGTAATTGTGTTTTCTATTAATAAAAGTGTTTTATTCTTAAGTTTGTCTGTCAAACTTTAGTTGTTTAAGTTCGTAGTGCACTTGGGTTTCTATATATTTTTAGTGTCTATATATTTTTAATATTTAATATTATATCTAGAAAGTGTCAAAAGTGTGAGTTAGAGAAAGAGAGCTTAGAGATAGAAAAGAAAAAAGTAGTGAGGTAAGGGTGTAAAATTGTAATTGTGTTTTCTATTAATAAAAGTGTTTTATTCTTAAGTTTGTCTGTCAAACTTTAGTTGTTTAAGTTCGTGCACTTGGGTTTCTATATATTTTTAGTGTCTATATTTTTAATATTTAATATTATATCTAGAAAGTGTCAAAAGTGTGAGTTAGAGAAAGAGAGCTTAGAGATAGAAAAGAAAAAAGTAGTGAGGTAAGGGTGTAAAATTGTAATTGTGTTTTCTATTAATAAAAGTGTTTTATTCTTAAGTTTGTCTGTCAAACTTTAGTTGTTTAAGTTCGTAGTGCACTTGGGTTTCTATATATTTTTAGTGTCTATATATTTTTAATATTTAATATTATCTAGAAAGTGTCAAAAGTGTGAGTTAGAGAAAGAGAGCTTAGAGATAGAAAAGAAAAAAGTAGTGAGGTAAGGGTGTAAAATTGTAATTGTGTTTTCTATTAATAAAAGTGTTTTATTCTTAAGTTTGTCTGTCAAACTTTAGTTGTTTAAGTTCGTAGTGCACTTGGGTTTCTATACGATCGGTTATATCGCCTGATTCATAAATAACCGGTTATACCGTCTGATTAATATGTGGTCGGCCTTACCGCCTAAGCATTATTATGCACTAGAAATTTATAAGATAAAAGACTAACGTAAAAAATAGTTGATGTAGTATTAGTGATATATCATAGGTCCTCTATAGTGGTTGAATTGACTCGAAGTTTCCAACAATTTGCTTAGGCTCTAAGTCATGTAGAGCTCCAGTTTTACTTTTTCCTTTTGTTTTAACAGATTCCATTGCTAAGACACTTGGAGTCAACAACCTGTTATTTTCTCTCCGGAAGCTTCAAAACTCACCAATATTCAACATGCAAGAACGGACAACTTTACCGACAGCTTGTTTATGTTATCTCATTTTCGCCGTATTATTGGCGTGCCCTGCAGGTAAAGTATAAACCTTGCAAGTCGTATAATCATGTTTATATGCATATCATACAGACTCTAATATGTTTGTACTTGTGTTTGTGTTTGTGTTTCTTTTGTTTTCGATTCGATCTCAAGTGTGCGAGAAGATGGTTCGATGAATCAGATCTGAACCATTTGGCTAACATGGGGAAGTATGTTTCAGCCATGGTGGCTGCCGGTGCTCGACTAACGTATGCAACACAAAGCAACAGTCTGTGGTTCGGCATAGTGCTGGTGACTTCGGTTGTGGCCACTATTTACCAATTATATTGGGATTTTGTTAAGGATTGGGGACTTCTTAATCCTAATTCCAAGAACCCTTGGCTTAGAGATGAGCTGATTCTAAAGAAGAAGAGCATTTACTTCATTTCCATTGTGAGTTATGCTTTAACTTTGTGACACTTCTGACATCACCTCCTTAGTGGATAATATTTTTTCATTTTACTACTGTTAATCTCAGTCTCTATATATATATTATTTTTAAATAATTCTTAATGATAATTCTGTAACTGTAGGCCTTGAATGTAGTTCTGAGAGTTGCTTGGATCGAAAGCATCATGCGGTTTCAGATCAATCCAGTCCAGTCGCATTTGTTGGACTTCTTCTTGGCTTCCCTAGAGGTAATCCGACGAGGCCATTGGAATTTTTACAGGTAAATTCCTCATTTTCCCACTCTGAAAAACAAGTCAATATTGAAACATGATTCTGAAATCAAACTGTCTTACAATACATGAGAAACTGTTACTGTAACAGGTTGGAGAACGAACATCTAAACAATGTCGGCAAGTTTCGGGCGGTAAAGACTGTTCCGTTGCCGTTCCGTGAGACGGATTCTGATTAACATGAATGAAAGTTTCATCATCAGAGCTGACATAGAAGACAACTGATACAAAAAAAAAAGAAGTTTTTGGAAATCTAAACTGTGGAAAATCATAAATCCATGCCCAATTTGTATAAGTCCCACGTGTAGGAAACATTTTGCAGCATCAAACTGCAATTCTAATTTGTGATTTGCTGATATCTTAATATATCTGATGTTTTAGCCAATCGCCAAAGGCATTTTGAATTTGTTTTGTCCTTTTGATGACATTACATTCTGATTTTGTGCTACAACATCACATTAAAAATTAAATATATGTATATTTTATTTTTGAGTGATGACATTGCACAGTCTTAAAGTGTCACATAATAAAAAAGAATAAAAAATCTAGTTCAAGGACCAAGTTGGAAAGAAATGTTAAGTTCTAAGATTAATATGAACCAAAAAAAAAGTTCTAAGTAACAAAATGGACCAAGTTGCCAAGTTCAAAGGGACTAATCACATTTATCCCAAAATAAAACTCAATCAAACTTCAAACCTCAAGCAATTAAGAATCTGTACATACAGATTCTGGATTTAGATTAGTTAAGGTAAATTTTGCTAGCAAGAATGCCATAAGCTACTATGTTCTTAATGAAACATGTTTTCAGTTGTTGCATTGCATTTATTGCAATTATATATGTAATGAATAGGGATGTAAATGAATCAGATTTTAACAAATGAGGAAATGTTTTCCTTGTTTGTGTTCATTTGTTTATTTTTAAAAGTGTTTATGTTTGATTCATATTCGTTTATTTATTTTTGAATATGTTCATATTCGATTTGTTTAACGTTCACAAACAAATTCGATTAATGTTGGACGAGCAACACTCCTTTTACCCTTTTATTTACAAGCCAAAAATAGTAAAATTACACCACTAGTCATTAAGCTCCTTAGGCTTTACAATTTGAATTCCAAAGTTTACTCTATGTTCAATTCAATCCTTATCTTCACCATTCACCAATATTAAAATGTAAAAAAAATGAAAGCAAAAAAAAAAACTTGTAAATGAGCTTATAAACAAGCCAACAAACAATCTTTAAAACAAGATTGTTTGTAAACATAATCGAATCAAACACACCTCTGTTTGTGTTCTCTTTCATTTATTAAATGAACATACAAATTTTGTTCATACTCGTTTATTTAACTTAATAAGCGAACGATTTACAAACAATTCATTGAATATTCTATTCATTTATGCCTCTAATAATGAATGTTAACATGGTCGTGGTGAAAATCAACTACAGGATAACCAAAACTGCAAAACACTATTCACTCTTCCATTAAAACACACGCACACACACTACAACATAGAAAGTCAGCATCATGCTGCACTTAACTGGTTTTCTAAGCAAAAAACAAGTCTTCAATCAATAACATAAGCATTTATATGTTCACAGCATGCCAGGAGAGGCCAAACATAAACTCCTAGAATTTAGGTATGCTGGTTGTCTCTTGATTAATTATGATATGCAATTTTCCAACATCTATCGTACAAACCTATGACAAGTACCTCCATAGTGCAGGGCGATCTCTGGATATCAAGAGCACTCGAGATGCCAAGTAGTCGAAAGAAGGGGCATACATGTCATCTGGCCCAACGATCTCTCGGACATTTTGAGCACTTCCATTATTGTACATGAAAGGCTGAAGCCCGTCATCCTTCAGTGCGTCGAATATGAAGAGTCCCAGCGCACAAACACCCATGACAAGGTTTGAATTACCCCACACCTGTGTTATGGCTGAATAATGGGAATGGACATTGTATTCAGGCAAAGAATATGTAGCAAAGAGCCTTTGTTTACGCAACGAGAACTGTTGCACTTGAGAACATGGCTGTTTTTGTCCGGATGGTTTTAGATTAGTGCATCCGAGATAGATTGAATCCCCTCGAGAGGAAACTGACTGCACATTAACGCCAACTTTTGCGATTCTCGCACCGATACCCGATGGGTGGCGGAAATCCAATATATTAATAGAATCCGCAGTGCAAAATACACCATCATTTCCTTCAGCTTCTGCCGAACTGACTCTGCAATCCAATTTTTGCTAACATTAGGACCCATGCAAGAATTTCACTGTGCTTTCTTTTCTTTTTGCATGATATGATAAACAAGAATAAACGATGGCACTTGCAGTAAATGAATATCGCATCAATCAATGAAAACATGGGATGAAATTCTAACCTTTGTCTAACCCCTCCACCTATCTCGGCATCGATGTTATTTATATGAAGAGCGGAGATTTTTCGACCAGATGACGAGACGGATAGTACTGTCTGAGGATGTAAAGAGTTCACATCCCAGACAGAAATCATTTCTGTTTCGGCTACTACTACCTTCACTCGGTTTCTCCACTGCAATGGACTTGAATAATCCATTGACAACACAGGCCTCTGCACCTCCCACTTCATAATTTCCTCACCATCACGGATGTCATATACTTTGACAACCTTCTGAGAGCTGGCAGTAGAGATGATAAGAGGGCCCAATGGTTTATACCACCACTGCTGAGTTTCCGGTGGTAAATTATTACACGGAGCATTTCTTCTATACAAAGGGTTGTTTGGTAAGGGACCGAGTATCGTTCTTGAAGCAGTTTCCCCGCACTCAGTGTGGAAAGCACGCACATCTTTGGTATAGAAATCCCATGAGCAGAATCCTGATTCTAAAGAATTACCAGCAGATGCAGCCACAACGTATCTCCCCGAACAACCATCTGAACTGGGAGCACGAATAATCCAACAATCCCTCCACATATTAGGTGAGACGCCTTCCGGAGGCTTGTAGACAGCCTTCTCCTGAAATAATAATGAAATCATTTTAAGAAGTTGTGTGTTAAGTTGTTTTTGTCTCCACTTTTTCCACCGTTGGTATAAATGTGCAAAGAATTTGATTTAATCAATGAGGTTGCAAGAGAACTTTTTGGTTAAACATATAGCCACATGCACACATCAATGCCTCGAGCTTTCAGCAAGCTCAAACTTTTTCCAATTCCGAGGTTGGATGAATTGAATTCTCAAGAAACAGGATGAAGGTAGGAATAGACATTCAAATAATCAGTAGGAACACAAATCATCAAACAGGGATGAAAAAAATATAAAAATGATGTTTGAATCACTATCATGAAACAACAGAGGAACATAGGAAAATTTGATAGTTGAATTTAGAATACTAAAACGGGAAACAGAAGAACAGATACAATAAAGAATACCTCAGAGTTTGTAACGTCATAAAAGGAACACGACCCGTCGTAGTGAGCAACAAGTGCTGCCTCTCCTTCTGAAACAAACCATCCTCCGGTTGAAGTCTTGCAACCAATTTCATTGAGCTGGTAAACGCTAGCATCTTCAGACTCCTCCTCAACAACAGCAGTTGGCCTATTCTCTTGGTCATCAAACTCCTCGAGTATCTCATCTGATTCTAGATTGATCTCTACAGCATGCTTCACAACAACGTCTTTCAAAGGCCCTTGTGCCCCTGAAGCAACACCACCATCCATATCTTGAATATCACAATTCTCCAAAGTAGCCTGCTCATTCCTCATTGTAACTTTACTTTGCTTATCAAGTGAAGCCAAGAACTCCAAGGCTATTGGATTATCCTCAACGGGACTCGGTAACTTCTTTTCTTCCCTTAATTCACTACCAGATTCTACGGCTTTAGAGGATTCGTGACTTTGAGATCTCCCTGACGATTCCTTCAATGATGTTCGGTTTCTAAGCAACTTATGATGAGGAAAAAATCTAGCTTCCAATTCCTCAATATTCAAACCTTTAACTGATATCTTAACATTACCCACCTGCCTACTCTGACTCCCATCAGCATTTTTAGTACCCACATCTTCATCTCCAGAACCTTTCAAACCACTCGGTTTACCACTTGAATCAGTCACAACATTTCCCATCGCCATCTCAATACCCGAAATCTTGTCCTGGATATCAGAAAGTATGACCTTTGAGGCATCCGGATTATTCTTGTCGAGCATCTCCTTGGTCCTTTTAATATCTGAAGCTATTCTTTTCACCTTCCCTTCTAGAAAAGCAAGTTTTTCGTGAAGTTTGCTTGGATATTTAATGGCAGCTCCACTCCCTCCACTTTCTTGCACACTCAAGTCCTCTTTTGAAATCATCAAACACTTTCCATCACTTAAAGATTTCTCTTTCAGAAACTTTGCATCGCATTTTGAATCAAAATCTGAAATACTCTTTTCATTAAAAGCCCCAGAAACCCCATTTTGAATATTTTCCCCGTTTGATTTTCCCAAATCAAAGTTAAATTTAACATCTTTTTTGCAATTCCCATCTAAAACCCTAACCCCTTGTGTTTTCCCCTCATTTTCCTTCACTTTCATCACCAAACTCTCCTTAAATCCACCATTTTCTTTGCAACCTTTAACTCTGGAATCCCTAAAACCCTTCTTTTCCCTATCAACTGAAACACTATCAACTGAAACCCTATCTTCCTTCAAATCCGAAAAAACCCTAATAAAATCAGATGGGCTTTGACTCCTACCTCTTGGAGCAGACGACGTGGACAACCGCACCCGGCCTTCACCGTCGGAACCACCTACCGCCACCGCCTTCTCAACGCGTGGAACGGGACGGATCATGGGCTTCTGGGTCACCACGGAAGCCCGAGAAAGACTGCTGGATCTTGGGTTTTCCTTTCCGGAAGATGATTTTTTTAGGGTCGGATTGGTGTTGGAGACCGGAGTCGGGGTTTTTGCAGGTTTCTGTTTGCAGGCGGTTAAGTCTCTTTGCCGGCGTACCGACGACGATGACATTTTTTCTCTTTTATTTTTGGGGATTGGATAAATTAACAGTAAATTGGAACGGAAATATGGGGAAATAGAACTGAATATGATCTTTCAAGGTTTAAACGTTGAATTTTTGGGCGGGAATGAGTATTCAATTTGTAAAGTTTGATTTTTTTTTTTGGGAAGATCGACTGTATTTGGCATTTTTATTTCTTTCCATTTGTAATATTTATTTAATTAAAAGTTTATTTATCTTAACTTTTTAGTATCTGTTTTATGTTAATTATAGAAGTTTATGATTATTTAAAAAATTATTATTTCCAAAAAATATGAGGTGTAAATGAATCGAGCTTAAAAGATAAAGTTGTGCATGCATTTGTTTGTTTATTATTAAAATAGCTTATATCCGGTTCGTGTTCGTTTAAATTTTCATCATTATTTTTTATTTATTTTTTAATTTATTGTGTTCATTCATTTAGCGTTCACAAATATGTTTGTTTAAAGTTTGAGAACATGTTCGTTCAACGTTTGTGAACACGTTCAATAACCAAAATTCAATTTTTTGTTTGCAAGCTAAAAAATTGTAAAATTATGCCACCGGTCTTTAATTTCCTTAAACTTTATAATTTGAACTTCAAAGTTCACCTTATGTTTTAGTTTCTACCTTCACCCATATTTAAAAGGTAAAAAAATAAAAATAAAAGAAAAATCGAGTAAATGAGCTTATAAGGTTGAGCTTATAAACGAATCAATAAACGAGCTTGTACACGAACATAAATGAATTAAACACATCTCTATTCGTGTTCATTCGTTTATTAAATGAACATAAAAATTATATTCATACTTGTCTATTTAGCTTAATAAACGAATGATTTACAAACAATTCGTCAAACGTTCTGATCATGTACACTCATAGATGAAATAAAAGGGTTGATGTGTAGTTGTTCCCACTGGTCGAACATTCCTTGGCCCCCACCAATTATTTTTAAGAGAAAATAACCTCAGTGACCAAAAATTCCAGATAATATACGATTTTGACCAACTTTTTTTGGATTTGCGAAAATGACCAACAAAATCGCAATGCGATCTCTAATTCGCATTGCGATCTCCAGTATCGTAAATTCGCGTTGCATTTCGCGTTGCGATAGTTGAAAATCGCGTTGCGATTTTCCATTTCGTGTTGCGATAGTTGACAATCGCGTTGCGATTTTCCATTTCGCGTTGTGATAGTTGACAATCGCGTTGCGATTTTCCATTTCGCGTTGCGATAGTCTACAGTTGTCGTTGCGATTTTCCATTTCGCGTTGCGATAGTCTACAGTTGTCGTTGCGATTTTCCAAATTTGTTGCGATAGTCTACTGTAACCCCTCAGACCGATGCAGGTAGCCCGATCCGATCCAGGAAGTCACATTAGGGCCACCGGAGCGACCCACTGTAAAAATAGCGGAAAATTTAAATCTTTTTATCCGAACATGTAAACTTATAAAATCATTTGTCACTATTTAAAAAATAAAACATATTTCCAGACTCGAATATAAATCAAAATACAATTACATGCCCCCTATTCACATGTACCATACTCTGCTACAACGCCGGAAAAACTCCCTTACTGAAGTCGATAGATGCACTGGTACAATTCTTTTAACCTGAAAATGTGAGTAATAGAGTGAGCTTCAAAAAGCTCAGTAATACAGAACTACCAGATGATGTTGAAAAACGTGCAGATACAGATAAACATATTTTCCTTATTGGTTCAGATATTTACAGATCTTTATGTTGAGCTGAGGTTCATTGATATCGCATGTAGTAACAAATAGTATTCATTTCAGATGGAAATATTTCGGATGTCTAGGTTCAGGAGATCAGAACAGGTTTTCTAGTGTGTTCCCAAAAATCATGTAACTTTTCAGATCTTTTTTAAAAACATATATATATATATACCCCCATCCAACAAGTCCAAGTTGTGTAGGTTCCCCAGAACCATACACCCACCATCAAGTCCAGTTGGCCCTGAGCACACAGCCGAGGAACCGGTAAATAAGGCCCTGAGCACACAGCCGAGGAGCCTCCAGGTATACTTCCTCCAACATTACCCCCCAAGTAAGATATGTCCGTCCGTAAACAGATATATCAAAAATCAAAACATAAATCAGGTCAAGTATCATATCAGAAATCAGGTCAAGTAACAGATCAGAATCCAAGTCAGATATCAGATCAGAATCCATGTCAAGTATCAAATCAGAAATCAAATCGAAAATCAGGTAAAATATTCATGTGAGTAGGGAACACACCAGAATTTACAGATAGTATTCAAAGATATTGGATAATCTTAACAAGTAGGGGAACACGGATCTTTAGTATATCGATAGAATATCGGAATTATGAATCACTATTGAAAGAGTTCAATAACTGACAGAATCATCAGTTATTCAGAAAGTGACTTGAGCTGATAAGGAAGAAATGAAGGTTCAGGACATTTATATTATCTATCGATTGATCGAATTATCGGACAACTCTTAGATGAATAGTTTCCAGAACTAATGCCTGTCGATTGGTCAATTCATTGTTCTTCCAGGGTATTTACTCTTTAATACCACAATTCTTGTCCATAGACCATTTTCAGAATCATTGTTGAATAGATCTTCCAATGTCTTTATTTCATTTCCACACTTCTACAATATCATGAAATGCTGACGTACTTGATTAATTTGTTCAAACTCATTGTAATTGTACACTACGTAAACTCATCAGAGTTTCCAGACTTATCCAAGTCACTTACTAAATCCTCAGTCATTGAAGTTACCTATTTCATTTAGCAGTCATCTCTATTCCAGTTACTTCAGGATTTTCCAGAGTAATTCAAACGTTCCTGAATTTCAGATACATGTTGTACTTCCATTCCATTCAATTTGGTCTTCATGGTTGATTGTCGAACAAACGTCTAATTCTTAGTACTGAATACAATCTAAAGCTGAGTTGAATACTTCCAAAATTTATCATCGAGCCAAACTTGAGAAGATGAACACATGTTCCAGTAATATCTATGTCATTCAGGTATTGACATAGCTTTAGGGTTGATCTATTCACTTGAATTGTTTTCCATTACCTTTAAAGGTAGTCCAATACTTATCTTACTTGGATTCCTTAATTAATCCAATACATTTACTTAATTTAGGCCATAAGGGTATTTTGGTAATTTTGATGTTCAGTTTTATTTCATTCATTTCAGAGCTCGAGGATATTCAATCATTCCTGAGCTTGGTGATATTCTTGGGTCATTTCTATTACAGGGGTATTTTGGTCATTTTATAGATTCACGGTATTTCAATCTTTTCCTTCCATCCGATCTTATTATTTAATTCAATCTTATCATTTACTTCAGTCCTTTCGAACAATTCTGACAGCAGAATACCCCCGATAAATTACTCTTCCAGTATTTACTCATTATTCGAATATTTTCAGGTCAAGTGTCTTCTCAGACTTTACAAACGGAATATCATAAATTTCCTGCACTAAGTCGGGATCTTAACAATTAAATCCGTACTTAATCGAGTTAAGTACGAATCCTCTAAGTATTTTCTCATTCAGAGTCATCTCAGACTATTCTACCTCTTAAGGGCATTTCCGTAATTTCTTAACCAGATAAGTTCGATATTAGCTCTTAACGAAAATAATAATTTAGAGATCCTATGATTAATTGCTTTCTTGAACAATCTCTGATCTTGAAATAATTCCCTTAACACACTTCTAGTATCTTGCATAAACCCTCTTGGGGTTAAAAACCGGTTATCCATAATGTCTACGTATAACTATCATTTCTTATGCACATCAATATTTTTATCAGATCAATATGTCTGTAAATCCTCTTATCTAACTTCCATATTCCAATCTTGTCTTTTTATAACACAAGGGTATTTTCGTAATTTTACCCTACCGGAGTATTTTCATAAATTCACATCCAAATGCCTTTAACATTTAACCTTTGATGAAATAAATTATAAGTTACAGATCCAGGTTGATTTCTTTACCACTAAGCACATAACTTGTAATTTAATTCTAGCAATCCCTTAATTTCTTATAAAAGTCATCTGAACCATAATCAATTACTGAACCATTTTACCGTATTCAGATCGAGTGTAGAACTTCATTAATTACACATATGAGACCAAACATTTCCATTCATGCATTTACCAATACCAACATGTTCTATAAAGCATAAAGAGGTAGTAAAGTATTACCTCGATTTCCGTGCAATACTGATCGACCATAAAAATTCCATTCGAACGCCTTTGATCTTCAATTCAACTTCCAATAATTCCTCAGATACATATCAACATAAATTATATCAGAAACGGAGCTTAATTACGATAAACGGATCGAATCGGGTGATAAATCAGTGAAAGACGGCTTACCGAGTTTGAATTTGGCGAAACGGACTTCGGATTTGGATTCAGGACGTTGAAAGCATAAAATATGACTTTTCAGAAATTTGGAATTTTCGGTCAAAATCAAAGTCAACGGGTTTGACTGACAATTTCGAGGCCTTCGGGTTCGAATTTCGAAAAACGGACAGCGGAATCGGATTTGGAACGTCGAAAAATGTCAGGATAGGTATACTCGGTCGAAGTCAAAGGTCGTTTAATGCCTGATCAAAGCCAGTCAAAGTTTTGGTCAACAGTGGTCAACTCCGGTCAACGGGTCGGGTCAACGGGTCGGGTCGGGTCAACGGGTCGGGTCGGGTTGTGACCGGTCAAAACAGTTCCAAAACCGGTCAAACCGGTCACTTTTCCCTTCCCCACGCGCAGTGGCGGCGCGTGGGGGCGCGTGAACAGTGATAAAATCCCGGAAAAATTTCTAAAAATTATTTTGAGCGATTTCGAGATATTTACAAAGCTCGGTTCACAATTTTGAACGGCGGAGAGCTCGATTTCAACAAATCGGGAAGTTTGACCGGTTCACCTCCCAACGCGCCGCCGCCGCCGGAGAAAAAAGAGAACACCGGTGGACTCGGAACGGCACAAGGAACACGATGGTGCGGGAGGTGTCGTAAACGGATGACCCGATCGTCGTGAATCGATGAAAAACCAACTAAA